GTACTATTGTAATTAAACATCAATAAAATAAAGTTTAAACTAAGAGCATCAGCGCGCAACTCTCGCTACAAAGGAGGCAATACACGATAGATTAATTAACAAACAGACTTCGAAAGTCATTCTAGACGACATTAAGTCACTGGACGATTCTATGAATGAACCCATAGACCTTAGGCAAATTCACAATGCCAAGTATCTTATGCAGAAAAAAAACGTGACGACAAACAACCAAACAGTTATAGTCAAAATACGGCGGACGGACTTTTAAGTGTTCTCAATGAAATCCATGACAGCAATTTCATCAAAGGTTCCCGAGCTGATTAGTAGAGATATAATTTGAAGACGCTTCACAATCTGTCGAAATCTATTCACACACGTGTGCCAAGCCGTCGATCGTAATAATTAAAAACAACCTTACTCAGTCATTTATTCAAATTTCTACCTGAAGTTTAGTATAAAGTTGTATCATAGTTATAGGAATAACATATCTTCTGATGTCGCTTACATTATAGGTTAATATTCGAGATATTGTCTGAAGACGCTTTACGATCTGTAGTGTTCTATTCACACACGTATGCCACGCCGCCGATCGTAATAATAAATTAATCATAACTCGATCATATTTTCAAATATCGAGCTGAAATTTGGAATATATATCAATAAAAGTCTAACTAATAACATATCTTCTGATGTCGCTTACTTTAGCGGGTAATTGTAACGATATTATCTGGCGACGCTTTCTACACTTTTCAAGCTAATACACACATGTGCCACGCCGCGATCGTAAAAATTCAATTCATCCTAACTCGGTCATTTTATCAAATATCAAATTAAAATTTGGTACAGAGGTGAATTATAGTCATATCTTCTGATGTCGCTTACTTTATTCAGTATTTTTGAAGATTTTGTCTGGCGACGCTTGTTGTCACTTGAAGACGCTTGTTGTCGGTTGAAGACGCTTTCTAGTGAGACCCAGTTATGTCAATTGAAGATTGAAGAGTCAGTGATGTCAATTGAAATTATAGTATTGTACTGTTACATTTAGGGATGTTGACCTGTACATGTATGTATTTTGTGCTATGTAAGTGCTTATTAGGTAAATTTTTACACTTTGCTATATTCGCATATATATGTATATAGCCATGTGCTTTTAGTCACCCAACATTTTTGCATAATATTTGTGATTCCTCTTATCTTATAATATACTTTTAATTAATATGTTTAATCAATTCTCTCATATTTAGCAATAGTAGTTTTATATCTTGCTGTGATATTTTTTCCTATGTTTTGTTGTAATAATAGCTCTTCAGAGCTACTGTTTCTGTTTTCATATATCCAACTTAGAATAAAATTTCTTGTATCTTGTATGTTGTATTATTGTAACGCTACGTTTAGGAGTAATGATCTGTACAGTCAGGGATGTAACTTTAAGTTGTATTAGTGTACTGTTACAGTTAGGGATGTTGACCTGTACAGCCAGGGATGTTAATCTTGAAAGTCAAGGATGTAATTTAAGTTGATTTATTGTACCGGTTCAGTTAGGGATGTTGACCTTTACAGTCAGGGATGTACATTTCAATTATACTGTTGTACTGTTACAGTTTGGGGTCAAATGCTGATATAGCTCCCGGCGAGAGATACTAATGTCACTACGGTGCCTCTTGTAAATGCTGGGAAAGCTTAACATCTCAAATACGTTCTGTCAGCAAGTCACATGTCACACCTCCGCGTTTCTGGTGACCCTGGAAATACTAAGTAGCAATACTAAGTAGCCGAGTGACAGTGATGAAAGGCGAGCCTCCAGCGCTTTCAAAAAACTGGAAAACCGTGGCTAAGGGAAGGACAACCCTAACAGAAAAACCCTAGCCCTCCAGGTTGGGGGTTGAGCACAAGGCTAACAACCTGGTCTTATAAAAACAGTAACGTTATGGAAGTAGCAACGAAGAAATCTAACACAACGCTGTGTAAAGATCTTCCCTGGGCAACGAATCGTATGACTGGCAGTAGTCAAAGCCGAAAGGGGGCTACTGGCACAACAATGAAAGTTCTGAACACAAAATCAAGAACCAACCTTGGTTTTTGGAATGTCCGTACTATGTACGAATCGGGTAAACTTGCACAGGTAACGACGGAGATGAGACGCTATACTACAACCTACATATCATGGGGGCGAGTGAATGCAGATGGACAGGATCAGGTAGCTAGACAGACGACAGTAACGGGTGGGACACTTCTATACTCAGGTAGAGATGACGGTCAACACACAGAAGGAGTGGCATTAATCATGAAAAAGGGAGTAGAGCGATCATTGCTAGAATGGGAGCCTGTCAGCAGTCGTCTGATAAGAGCTAGACTGAAAGGGAGGCACATCAACATCATTATCCAGTGCTATGCCCCGACGAACGACAGTGAAGACGAGACCAAAGACAACTTTTACCTTAGTCTTCAGGCAGAAATGGAAAAGACAGCTAAGCTCGAACTTAAAGTCGTGATGGGTGATCTGAATGTAAAGGTGGGGAATGAGGGTACAGAGGATGACAGGGCTAGGGGGAAACATGTATGTGGTAGCATGAACAACAACGGAGAGAGACTGGTGGCCTTCAGCAACATGAATGGCCTGGTCATTGGAGGGACCTTGTTTCCGCATCGACTGATCTACAAGCTGACATGGTGCTCCCCAAATGGACGAGATCAGAATCAAATAGACCATTTAATGATTAGCGGGACGTGGCGATGTTCACTAATGGACGTTAAGGTGAGGAGAGGAACTGATGTTGGTAGCGACCATCACCTGGTGGCAGCCTCTATCAAGCTCAAGCTTAGAAGCACTGGTCCACAGCCCAAAGGTCACAGACGTTTCGACGTGGATAGACTAAAGGATGCAGGTTTAAGAACAGAATTTACCCTTCAGTTGAGGAATAGGTTTCTAGCTCTAGTAAACCATGACGAGCCGATGGAGGGAGAACAGGATGAGCTCCTTAACAACAGATGGGACATGATTACATCAGTGTTTAGACAGAGCAGCGAGAAATGCTTAGGCTACAGAAAGAAAAGAAAAGACTGGATGACACCTAAAACCTGGAATGCAATTGAGACAAGGCGCGGTATTAAGAAGAAGGTGATGGATGCAAAGTCTGAGAGGCTGAAAGAAAGATATCTGGAAGAGTACCGAGAAGCACACAGAATTGTGAAGAGCCTTGTAAGAGCAGACAAAAGGAAGAGTCGTGATGACATGGCGTCAAAAGCGGAAGAAGCAGCAGCCCGCAACCAACAAGGTACTGTATATAAGATTACGAAACTTATCTCTGGGAAGTGCCACACAAACAACAGCACCCTCATAAAGAACAAAAAAGGAAGACTACTGACAACTGAGAAAGAGCAGGAAAAGAGATGGACAGAACACTTTAAAGAAGTTCTCAACAGGCAGCCACCGGCGGAGGAAGCAGACATACAGGAGGCTGGAGACGACTTAGAAGTCTGAACTGTTCAAGGCTGCCCCAGAGCTTGCAGTTTCCATTTTAAAACCTTTATTTAAGATAAAAGGGCAGGACAAAAAGATACCATCAGGATGGAACAGAGGAGTAATTGTAAGAATACCAAAGAAAGGATCGCTATATGACTGCAACAACTGGCGTGGAATAACCTGACTTTCTATACCCAGCAAGATATTGTGTAAAATCATTGTAAGGCGGATAACAGATGGAATAGACACGCTGCTGAGGAAGGAACAGGATGGATTAAGAAAGGAAGAGGATGTACTAACCAAATTTTTGCACTCGGAAACATCATAGAGCAGTGTTCAGAATGGAAAAGACAACTCTACATAAACTTCATTGATTTTGAGAAAGCCTTTGACAGTATTCATCGAGACAGCCTCTGGAGAATCATGCGTATGTATGGGGTACCACTTTAGATGGTTAATGTCATCAGAAGTTTTTATACTTTCTTCACATGTAGTGTTGGAAACAGCGACCTCAACTTCGTAGTCAAGACTGGAGTGCGGCAAGGGTGTGCCATGTCCTCGATCCTGTTTAACATGGTCATAGACTGGGTCATGAGGAGGACAACGGAAGACGTACCTAGAGGAATACGTTGGACACTGTTCTCAACGCTAGAGGATCTGGATTTCGCAGATGACATTGCTCTGATGTCTCATTCATACCAACACATCCAGGAGAGGACAACTCAACTCAACAACTTCAGTCAACGAGTTGGGCTCAATATCAACCAAAGGAAGACTGAAGTAATGACCCTCAATGTGCAAGCACCATCACCAATACATGTAGGGGATACTGACCTCACAAGCACAGTTACATTCCGCTACTGTACTACACATCCCTGATTTATAGTATCATATATTTTGTATCGGGTGTAAGATATATTTGATAAAAGAATTGCAAGGAATTAAGAGTATTGAATTAATATGGATCGGGCAGGAACAGGCGACGATTTACAGGAACGGACAGAAACGGGGCAGGATCGGACTTATTTATATATATTTAATTATCCTTATCGCGTATAAGGTATATTTGATAAAAGAATTGCAATTACATGATCGGAGCAGAATCGGACTAAATAGATATATATATTTATGTCGTCATTACTAATGATACCTATATTTATATTATTATATATATTTTATAGGGTATAAGATATATTTGATAAAAAAATGCAACGAAATAAAAGTATTGCTTATTGATATGGATCGGGGCAGGATCGGACTCCGTGTTTCCTTCATTCCTTCATTCTCTCTTTCTTTTAACTTTGTGGTTAATCAGTAAAGACAAAATGGGGAGACGTGTTATTTATCTATTTCCGTATCAATTCATTGCATTGATCAACAATAAAATAAACACACCTTGAAACATATTATCGACACTATAAAATGAGCTATCACTCAAATTATTAGAGTTGAGTTGCATGCAATCATACACCGGCAGAGTATCTCATAATCTATCTGAAATGAAATCTAAAATCATAAAATTAACCATCTCTTTCCTAAAACGTATTCGTTTTATCATATAAAAACATACATGCGACTCCAGCAGTTAGAAATATAATAATCAGTCTATATTAATTCTATTCATTTCATAAAATGGTGTTATTAAGATCATATGCATAAATTTAACAGGAAATAATTAGAAAATTTGAAATTACTTTTCAAAAATGTTAGTTTTTCAATTCTGTTAAACATAACAGTATCAATTATATAACAATGCTGGAGAAGAACCTTCAGTTAAATTAGATACTCAAACACTATGAAATTCAAAAAGTATATGGATTGTATATGATTCGAAGTCCTTTCAATTACTTGATTAACTCACAGATAGTCTGTTTTGGACAAGCTAGATATTTTTCCAGATATAGTTCTCTGACCAATCTTATGAAGGATAGACGAGTAGGTTGTCATTAATCAATTCAAAAATTAAATAGATAAATTAAAGGAATTACGTTACGCTTCTTATACATCAATCCAGAGACGTATATATTACATATTACCAGAGACGTCTGATATCACGTAATATATACGTATTTGATCATCCGAAAGCAAAATACTAAATGACATGAAAACTTGTTGCCTAATTCCGTGTTCAAACTTGATTCGACTCCCAGAGAAACTGTATACATATACTTTTAGTAACCATGAGTTTGTGACACTAATCAGAGACGTATATAACACATATACGCATGGCTTTATACGTCTCTGCACTAATTAGGAAATAACAGAAATCTGTTATCTTGAGTACCGCTCCACACTGGACTCGGGCAAATATCTCGGGTCTGTGCCCCGGGCACTTAACAATCCAAGTTCCTGAAGGTACACTAATGAGGTGTATACTGGGTACCGAATATAAATCACAGTTACAGGTAAATATATATATATATATTGGTTATGCAATGACGACGAAAATGTAGATAAATTTTGAATAGAATTGGCAAATAGAGGATTTTCCCAAAAAATTACTTATAGTAAACTAAATTAGAACAAATGTTTAAATAATTTTATTATGCAATGGACATTATAAACGTATTTACGTACATAGTTATAACAACTATCGATATACATGTATATAATATATATAAATATAGATTTGTTCCAATATATACTAAAGATAAATGCTTGTAAAAAGTAAATCTACTCTTACTAAATACTCGTCGAATTTATTTAAACAAATTTGAGTCTTTAAAAACATCAAGTTATAGGAATGCATAACCACGGACTTTATCAAATTCCGTATACAATGTCTAATTTTAAACATAAAACATTATATCAACATGTATGTAAGTCCCATGTATTGTTTATTTAGGTGGATTACGATGTCATAACCGTTTTTTTCTCATAAGTTTATTTAATAAATTGGTTTAGCGATAAAGATACTAAAAATTGTGCAACTGACTGCGATGAGCAACGTTTTACTTTTACGGGAGAAGGTTTTGAAAAGTTGTAACAATTTGTGACCACTACCTTGTTCAGATTTATTCGAAAGTGAATTAGTACACAAGCTGATTGAGATTTATCATAGTATTTGTTTGAATACGGAAGAAAAGAAAGATACGTGTATTGTCTTTTGTGACATCTCAAAGGCCTTTGATAGAGTTTGGCACAGAGGTCTAATAGCAAAGCTTCTTTCTTTATTCTGATTTCCAAATTCGTTTTAAAATATGGTATAAAATGTACATATATGTTTTTTGTCGCTATCACATTGTTGTAGTAAAATTGTTGAGGAGAGGGCTTTAATAAATTGTAATAACTTGTACCCAATCCTCTTGCTTGAATTTAAAGGCAATACAATATGTTTTGATTAAAATTAAATATGTTGAACGAATAAAAGAATCTCAACGTTCCAACCACTTGTACGGACCAAGTCCCGCCTGATATTGAAAGCGAAGTTGATTGGCACACGAGACGTCTCTGACGAGACAGAGCTTACCAGACACAATGGAAATGTTCAAAGGAAATGTGTTCTATTTTGATGCACGTTCATATAAGACCAGAGAATACAAATTTGAAACGTTTTATTGTGGAAAAACGTCTGCGTTGCTGTCCGGTGAGATACCATTGAATAATCTGCAGTTTTGAGTTTAGCTGGTGAATTATTTTTCTCAGCTTCATCAGGCAAGATAACCATATATGTGTAATTAACCAATCTAAATTGTCTACTCGGCACGCGACGCCAATATTCAAAAGCCACCAAATTAACCATTTAGCGTATGTGTTCACAGGAGGGCTGGGTCACTGATAAGGTGGGGTACTTACCTGGAACGATGATTGGCTTGTGTCGCAAGGTGATTGGTGGCTAAAAAAATTACCGACAGAGTCATCAATGTACGTTTTTGTTAGAACAAGAAGTCTATTGTCTACTATTACGGAATTAGATAATCGGTTTTGACCACATCGGCCTTTGAAAATTGAAACTTAAAGCGTTTCACCGTTTTTCTTTCTTCGATACATATAAAATTAATATACAGTATTGTTTTTCTAAAACAGATAAGGCCTATGTGGTCAAACAATCCAACATGTGGACTTCAATATTTATTTACGTAAAACACGTATTTCAATTAACTTATATTTACATATAGAATAATATTTAATTTTCAGACTGATGTCCCTTTTTTCAGTTGGAAAATTGCGTATTTTCTTTGAAAGATATTTAAAAGTTTCCTTTGATTGAACTGTTAAGCGTTGACATCGTCTGCACATCGATAAGTACAAGAACAAAGGATTAATTCACCCTTAATGATTTTTTTTAAGATCGTAGACGTGATGGGATGGTAATCTACACTTTAACACCAATTCATTCACTCAAAATATATTCATGCTATTTATTAAGAGTTAAGTACAAGTTATGAAGTTATTAAAATTTGGTTATCATAATGTCATTTCCAATGTTTCTTGTGTTATGTCATCGCAATAACAATGTCATATATATAAATGTTAAAATAACCAAGATACATATATATTATATATGTATTATATAATTCTCTGAACAACCTTTTTTGATAGAATAAAACACAGACACATATTGGAACCTCGGCCTGGCAATTTATATATATATATAATTTAGTCCGATCCTGCCCTGTTCCTGTAATTGCAATTCTTTTATTAAATATATCTTATACCCGATAAAAAATATATGATACTATAAATGTAGGTATCATAAGTAATATCGACATAAATGTATATATATAATTTAGTCCGATTCTGCCCCGAGCGATCATGTAATTGCAATCCTTTTATCAAATGTATCTTATACCCGATAATGATACTTAAACATATCTAATATATATATATCTTATACCCGATTTTTTTTATATAATTTAGTCCGATTCTGCCCTGATCATGTAAATGCTGCTTTTTTTTTTTTTTATCTAATATACCTTATACCCACCCGATAAGGATAATTAAGGAATGCCCATGATTTTGTTTTGGTATATACCGAAACAAAATTGTGCACTTTGCATAAATCCGCGAAAATTGGT